ATTTCTGAACCGATCCGGACCAAACTTGGCACACATACACTTCGGGGCGGGGCGGGTGTCATAGGCTACTTTTCTCATCGATCGATAACGATTTTATCAATTTTTTGCAGAGTTCACCTACGGGGCTAGGATTTGGCACAGAGGCGTGATCGAGCATGCTGATTACGAAAACAATATTAATTTCAAAAAACACCGCTACTTCTATCGATTTTATCGATTTTCTGCAAAGTTCGTCTTGCGGGACTGGGACTTGGCACAAGGGGGTAAGTGAGCATGCTGATTACTAACAAAGGGGAATAGCATGTAGAAGTGGGCACAGAGAAAGGTTGTACAAAAGTAGGGCTGAAACCTTTATCATAGTGTTTTGACACGGCCGGGCGGAGCAGGGTAAGCCAGCTATTCTCCTGTGTATATCAATTTATGCGTGCAGCTGTGAGGGCGCGGGAACCGTTTGTTATGTGTCACTTCAACTGAGAAAAATCTTGTAGATTTGAAATAAACGAAACAATAACAATCGAAGACGCGATCTATTCCTGCGAAATTGTGCAGGCTTGTATGAGGCTTTGAAGGCAGAAGGAGTTAGTGTGGGATGCTAAAAAGCATGAATGAAGCTCTTACTGCGTTTGGCAAGTTTTTCGAGCAAGTGCTTGAAGCAAGTGACTAATTGCATTCTAATTATTGAGAATTAGATTATTTCTTCATCTGGTTTTTCACAAAAATGAACCGCTTCCAGGAGAAATCATGAACGCCTCGAGGTCTTGGAACGAGAAAGAGGAAAATTTTTCATTACGTAGCGAAGCTCATTATCAAAAAACTAGTGTCTTTATTTTACGATAGGGTACCCCGCGAAAATCAGGGAATTGAGTTGCGTAGAATTCTGGCAGTTTTTCATTCAAACTTATGTTATTCAAAAAGGTGAGCTATATTGCCTTGCAAGAGCTATTGCTGAACATAAAGGAGTGGAAGAAAACATAGAAAAACTGATGCTAATGCTTGACTCCTTTGTAAAACTGATTTCAGCACTCTTGTGCTAAATTCACTGCAAACAAGCAGAATGAGTGTATATACAAAATGATGTATAGTGATGGTTATCCGCCTGAGGAAGAAAAGAGGTCATTCCTGCTGCAGAACGTACAGGGCTGTAACATATTTCATTGCATCATGGGGATGGAAGAAATATCATGAGTAAGCAAAGTCTACACTGATTGTATATCCATAGTCAGAATCTATATTAGACGAGCAGCTAATTTGCGCCAATGAGTGGGACCAAGTCTCACATTTCAAGCAACCATGATCAATCTCCCGTGCTAGATGCAAAGATGAAAAAATCGATGAGTTGTTATTACAAAATCGCGAGATCTGTAAGACATAAGCCATGCAGTAATTTCCCTTACTCTCGAGGTTTTACATGTGTAATCACGAAGAGAAAGCTGCAGGAAATAAAAGAACCACTTGCTTCTTTTGTCCTTCATTATAGACGAACACGCGTTAGAACTTGCGGGATAGTGAATTTGGAGATATGAATCTCTTCTGTATCGTGATCTAAGGATTCCTAAGATTTAAATTGTTATGTGTTTTAGTTGATGTGTAGCAGGCTTGCGATACGATAACGCTATTTAACGATAGTTGAACGAGCTGTTGGGAGCATTAAAAAAGACTGTGCAACAAGTGCAGGCATGTAAATGTTGCACAGTCTTGTAGCATAATCCGCATTCCATGACTGACTGATTAATTTTACAGTAGTTCACACCAGAGGTGCAGGCAGTAAGCTACATAAGGCATAACAAGCAAGGTTCCGCTTATGGATATATAAAGGCGCGCTTACTAGGAAAGGAAAAAGCGGCCAGGAACCCTATGCGAGAAGTAAAAAGGATATTCAAACCTGCAAAGTAAGTAAATCTACAAACTGTAGTCTTTATCACATATGCAACGCAGATCAATTATATAGAGTTTGAAACGGCGTAAAACCTAGCCGATTTGCAAGAAGAAGATTTAGAAATGGGTGACTACGAAGACATACCAGGTGACAGAATTGTGACCATAGAGACAACCAATAAACTTTTCAGAACATTTCATCTTGACTACATGTCAAGTCCGCACATCATCCAGAAATAGAGTAGTAGAAAGTATTGGCGTCGTATTTTGCTGCAAAATGAAACTCAAAAAAATTATTAGAAATTCGCGAATTAATGGCACTTATAGGGCCTTACTGGAACATAGTTCTAAGTTGTTTCATGCTGTTAATATCTCTACGCGCCACCCTTATTCCAGTTTTTTAAAAAAATCTTTGCAGCGTCCACCAAAATGGAAAGAATGAATTAGTCGCAAGCAAACTTTGGACTAGCTTAGTCTGCCTAAAAAATTTCTAAACTATAAATTTACGAGTATACATTAGATTACAAGGTCACCTTTATAGCTCATACCCGAAATTATCAAATTTATGAAAAAGTCAGCAAAAATATCTCTCTCATTGAGAAACCTATTCGACATTAATTTTGAAGGATTCCAAGCCTTATTGAAGTTTCTAAAACGTCCTTATTTGCATCCCTTTATCTCCTCTCTTGACTCATACCATTTTTCTAGAAGATTGAGTTTCGCAATGTTTGAGTTTCGCAATGTTCGAGGACTTTCAGAAACTCGGAAAGCTCAGTTTATACTTTTGCAATTATTTAAAAATCCAAGCAAAGCGCCATCACACCTTAGGAAGTTTTTTCATGTCCTCCAGAGATTTTTCTTCTTTTCTAACCTTTCAAAAACGTTCATCATAATTCTATAGAATTTTATTAGATGCTACCCATTTCCATGCTTGGTCCACTATACTTGTAACATGAAACGACGAGCAGAACGGTTGTCGTTCGATGCAGTTATTACTCCTCTTTCTAATGGGTGTTTTCTGTTTCCGACTCGCTAAATCATTGGAATAAAGCCATTACAACTCTTGGTTTCTAGCGCCATGAACCTTACTCAAAAATTCGAAATTCATTATTTCGGATCAACGACCAACGGGCCCAAGCCCAACACCGAACAAGACAACGAGAAAAAACACAAAATCAGGGGAAATGTCCCAATTTGACCCTCTAGCAGGCCTTCGCACGGTTATGTCTGGGTCAATTCTCGGTGAGTTCTCACGTGGGGAGGTCTGGTTCTCTCCTAACCAGTTTTCGACTCCCACGAGCCTCTTCTTCTCGATGCTCCCCGTTTTCTTCAACTTTTTATGCCTTCCCCTTTTTCTTCCCTTTTTTGAGGAAAGGCAAACCACCTCTTCTTCCCGCCAGCTCTGTAATGATGATCTCCAGTCGCATCTTCTAACATCCCTCCCCTCCGAGGAGCCGTCGACCTCAGCGCGGTGGGAGTTCTTTGAAATTTGCGTCGGGTGCTCGCATCCTGATGGCTTCATATAGGTGTCTGGTATTCGTTATTCCGCAGTAAGTGTCGTAAAACTAAATTTTCAGGCGAACTTGTATCTATCCATACTCTACCATTTTCAACAGGGTAGACGCTAAAAGGTATAACTGGTCCGGGCTGGCGAATTTTTCCAAGGCGGCGTCGTTTATAGTCCACAGTTCTGCCATGACTTTCCGTATGTGTACCTCGCGACATTCTATTCGTGGCCAGACTGATATCAGTTTTCCTTCTTCTTCGATCCTTCCAAGACGTTTTTTGCAGGCCAACATGATATCCGTGATCGCTTCTCTTTCTTTCCGCCTAACCATCGGCTACACGATGACCCACGTTTGAGTAGTGTTTTAGTTCTTGCAAGGCATTCTTGAGTTGGCCGAATTGCATGACTTTTGGTGATCACTCCTCCTCGCCGGCTTAGCCCCCATGTGATTGAGGGCTAGCGTCTAGAGATCTCCAATCACTTCCAACAGTACTGTTTGCTGTAGGGTTTCCTCGGACTTCTTCGGAGAGTTGGCATAAAGATTCAGAACAATGGCAAAGCTTCTCGAAAAAGCATGCCTCGCAGAGGTTGACTTTCAGGAGCCCCTTGACTGTGCCGCATTGAAATTGTAAGTAATTGAAAAGGGTGAAACGATGCATTGAATAGTACAAGATCTCCCAAAAGCCTTTGTTACGCGAACTGTGGCGCCCGTCTAAAAAATGCGAAACTACTTTTGGGTGAACCTAGTATTTTCACGCCACTTTTTAGATAGCCGTGAGGCGCTCGAACTGTGTCAAAATGTCGCTACTTTTTAGAGGCCATTAGTGGTTTTAAACGTTGGAAATTCTGATCCGCCGTGACAGATAAATGGCAACGAGTCCTGACAGGAGAGTTTAAAACGATCTGTGGCTGGGCTAATTGGATGAGTTTGAGCCATCTTACTATACCCAGCCGCACCCTCGTTACCTTAAGGCAGCAGACCCTGAAGGGCAGTGAAGATATGTAGATTAGTTTGTGGGTGCTGCATACACTAAGTCTACACTGCGCAAAAATACCAAATGCAGATGAAGCCGATCAAAGCAAGGATCTACTTTCTTCATACTGCTTCAATGCTTCTATCTCAGAAGTCAAAAATTAACAACTGATCAATCTGTTTTTTTAGTAAACTCTATTCTGTCTTTTGGGTATTATGACGTCGATTGCTGCCACGAGTGCCGTTTTGATTTTTCAGATAATAAGCTTCTATGGCCATAATGGAAATGGGAAGAAAACGACGCGCTGTTTCCCTCAGTTTTCCAAAAAAGCTAGATAGAACTCTTTACGGTAACATAACCACGACAGGACCTGCCAATTCGAAGACACTCGTGAATTAAAAGTGGAAACGTTGTTTACACAACGAATAAGATATACAAAGGATAAGAGAATTTTTACGGTTGAAATAATCTTCTTTTTAACATTTATTTCAATGTGTTCTCCGCTAAAATGCGTAAGGAGGATTTTTTGCTTGACCTTCTATGAAACATAGCTGCCGACAAATGACTGACTTTGTTGCATAGTGAAGGTACTTAGAGAATACCATACACTCGTAGAAAAGTATTTTACGTTGAATTTCCCTGCAAACACGCTGCACAATGCTTTATTTCATCTTATCACAAGAAGAAACAGGCAATGAGGAAAAGTGCTCGTTTCACTCAGCATGGACTCCCAAATACCTCGCAAGTACACTTCTTTTGGCATGTCCATTTGTCAGCTTTGCACTTGTTGAAACATTCCATGCTGAAAACACAAAATCTTTGTTGCGCATTAAAACAACGTAATTTCAGCCTTACAAGCGACGCGATTCTTCTGGCGAGAGGGTACTAGCATTCGTTAGCCCCAAGAAACAAGCTCCCAGAAAGAAAAAGAAAAACAGCAGGTTCATAGTTGTTTTCAGCAATATGAGTGTGCCCTGAAAAGTTCTGAGAATTTTTGGGTTTGCTTGTAACATGAGAGAAAAGCGACAACACAGCGTTTATGACTAATTGAGTCTTCTTTGCAAGACAGATATACTGAAAAAGATGGATTGAAGCGAACTTGCGATTAGAAGGTCAGAAAAGTTTGATGAAAGCTGCACTGCGTCTGTAAAGAATGAGTTGATGTAGTGTGTTATGCTCGTAATTCAAATAATCCACTGAAGTGGTGGGATTCGTAATAATGAACTGTGTCTTTTCTCTTTTGTGCAGAATGTCCTCTCTTCGATATTAAAGAACATAATGCCTAGACAAGAGCAAAGGCTATTTTATCATCATAGCGAGCATGGAAAAATTTTACTCGCAAAATAAAATTCTGATAAGTTCTCGAGAAATTCATTTAGTTTATCATACTTCGGTCATCAATGGCCATCAGGGAGGTATTAGGTTGCTGCATAAGTTCTGTCCGATTTTTTTGCCTTATGTTTGAAGCCGCTGTTCTAAGGGAATTTCATCTCTAATGCAATATTGCTGGTATCATTAAAAAGTGCTTTCCTTGCGCTTTCTAACGCATATCAGATTCCAATAAATTTAAAATTTTACTCGCAAATTGAAACTCCCGTAAGTACTCGAGAAATCGGTCATCAATGGCCATCAGGGAAGTACAAGTACCGTGGTTGAAATTGGCACTTCTAAGCGGAGTACTGGCATTCTAAGCGGAGTAATTGTGAACTAAAAAAGTTCTCGAACTTTTGGAAAATTTTCCTCAAACTGCTGTAACTTTGAGCTGTTGTGAGGTGCAAGTTTGCTGCAAGAACAATGTTCAGCCTATCTCAAAAAGTAGCCCATGAACGCCTTTCAGATACACGGTTGTCTTAAATAGGCCTGTTCCTATAGGATGGTCGCAGGAGAATTATAGTTGAAGAGGCTCATATGTAAATGTGTGCGCCTATTACTGCTGCTTTGATGATTTTGAGTAACGATTTTGGAACGCTATACGTGATAAAAAATTTCTTCAAAAACTGTGAAATACTGAGCAGTTTGCATCCAAATATGCTTCATTTTCTGATTCAGTAAATTTGAGGTTCTCTCTTTTTGGCAAAGTGAGCCAAATGTTTCAACATGCAAAGGACGTTTTATGATATCTCGCGCATCTTTTGCGAGGAAAGTTGATGCAAGTTTGATTGCTAGTAATATTTGCGCATATAGCAGAATTCGAGTGCAACTGCAAGTTTGCTGTCGTCGAACTCCCCTTTTAGTCACTCTATACTGAAACGACTCTTTTTGTTTCATGAATATGGGCAGTAGAATTTTCATCGTTAGAAAGACTTTTTGATGCAATTAGACAGGTTTTGATACCATTATAATCAAAAGTAAAATCTGGACGAGTTTCTTTGCTCTTTATAACCTCAGAAAAAGTGTTGGAAATCAAAAAAAAACAAGAGGCCTTGTACTTTTAAATAGCCTTATATTCAGGTGAGCTTTTTCGCATCGCAATGAAAAGCGCAAACTCTAGACTTTCTGTAAAGATTTTTTTCGTACGCGCGAAGTTTTATTTCGTGAAGAGCACTAAATGCGATTTGCATCTTGTAAGAAAAAGCATAAAAAAATCTTTCATAGCTTTAGTCTCTCATGCTTAAGATCAAAGGCAATTGTAGCCTTATTGCATAAGCGAAAGTTTAGAATCAGTTCGAAGAATTGCTATTGCAAAAGCTACTTTCTACTAGAACCAAGAAAACATTAAAAAAAGAGAATTTATTAGGTGACTGTCGGATTCAGCTGCAGGTGGTATATATATATATTTCTGCGGCAATGGCTTTTGTGACGTACTCGGAAAAAAGTTTGGATTATAATAGATTTTGTACGCTTCAAAGCTAAAGAAAACTCAAGTTAAGCTACTTAAAATTGACATCAAACCAGTGCATCATTAATCTTCTCATTTTCTTTGCCCAATTCGAAGCTTAAGATAGATAAATCCGTTTGTTTTCTCTGCACCATGTACAGAAAGTTCTCTGTCTTGCTCAAATCAGCTCTATTCCAAATTTTTTGTTACAGATGCTGCTAAATCTCCTTTATATACCGAAGTGCGCCTACGTTCTCCAACCAACTCTTGACTATTAGTAAAAATGCTTTTATCGAAGAGAGACCTACCTTTCAAAATAAGATGATTAGCAAGAGCAATCGGGAAACGCCTATTTGCGAACTGACTCATTTACATGGCAGGCTGTTTAGTGCTGTTAAATCCTTAGCCTTTTTGTGTTCGTTGGGAATTTGTTACAGCAAGTGACGTACAATTCTCATATCTGTCTACGTCTTTAATCTATTCGTGCTAATGGGAGCGAGGATTTGAGCTGCAATGAAAAATTTGAAACACGTTTTGGTTTTCATAGCTGCAAATTCTTAGAGGCATCAAAGAAATCACAATTAACATCATTCTTTCCAACTCAGTGTGCCATCATTTTATATCACAAATTTATATTAATAGAACAATCAATTTATTTAACTAACCAACCAAAGCAATGTGGAATGTAATAGCAAATTTAGAGAATAGGCGAGGCGTATTAAAGAAAATCACTTTTGAAGTATGAAGATTTGTACAAATGCACAGTAAGAAAAGTGTTTCTGATTTTAGAAGACCACTGAAGCATTGAATATACACAAAGCAATAATACGAAAGTTGTCATTACATCAAAATTTTCACTTTGTGCGAAATCTTGTGGAGCGCTTTGATGTGGCAGGCGTTGCCAAGCACAAGCAATACAATATAATCTCTAAACTTTTTGAGACACACTTAGGCTGCGTTTATACTGATTTTATGTTCCGTAACAGTTCCAGCATAGCGCTCGAATGGTGCGCTGTGCTGGAACAGCTCCGGAATTTACGGGTCAGTATGAAACCAGCTTATGAAACTATAAAGCACCAAGTTAGCAAGAGTTGTGGAATTATCCAATTTCGCGGAAATACAAAACATACGAGAACATACAAACATAAATATATACGGAAAAACATAGGCAAAGCATGCAAACATATTTACCTGTGAGATGTAAAACGATGATTGCGATACATTTTTTGATTTCTGGCTTCCACTCTGTTTATATCTGAGAATTTCCTGATTAGTTTGGTCTGCAATTGTTAAAAATACACGATGAAATCGGTTTGAACTGGAAGACATTTTCAGTAATCAGATTTCGTGCTGTTAGGAAAGCTTGCCTGAACGATAATGAGAGAAAGGACTCTAGCATCGTCACGAGAGCTGTCCGCATGCTACGCCTCGAGCCTTCCAGATACTTTGGTTGTGAGCTGGTCTTACAGCTACTGGAGACTATGACAATAACTTTGCTTGAATTTATAAATTGAAGTTCATTTGGCAAGTCAAATACTTAGATGGCTTTTCTGAAAACGAATTCTTTGATTTGTTAGACTAATTAAGTAGTCAACTTTTTATGAAACTGATGTTTTTTAAGCAACGTATTCATGTAAGAATACGGAAGCATCTCTGTTAATGTAAGAATTACCGTATTTAAAATATAGGATTGCCCCAAATTCAGCCTCACTGTGCAAAAAAAAGCCTCCTTCGTAAGGTAAATGAATTCTTACTCTGACACAGACGCATATAATATCCCCGTTGAGCATCTTAAGCTGAGCAGTACGTAAATGATAGAAAGTGAGGTTTGCTCCGTTGAAAGATGTCCTTTAAGATTAAAACTTTGCCACAATCTTCAGTCACATAATTTTTCAATGAAACTCCTATGTTAGCTCCTACAGGCTTGTGTCCACGTGCGTACCAAGTTTCATACCACATCGTCATCTGCGCGTTGAAAACGAGCCATTTGAATTTACAGCTTCATTTACCAATTTTGCAAAATCTTTGGAAAAAATGCTTATTACTCGTCCCGTTCACATAAGTTTTTCATAATTTTTCATACTTTGTTTCCACTAGCCTCTCTCCGTTCGCCTACAAAATCTGGTGTCATATCGTGACGCGTACATTGAGAACTAGTCATGTATGCCGTTACAAATAGCTCGTTTGAGCGACGTCGCGCGTGCGGCAACTAGCGACGTCGCGCGTGCGGCAATTAGCGACGGCGCGGTTTGACGCGCGCGAACTCCAGTCTTCGCATGTTGAGGCACATAACATGTTAAAATAAGCAGAGAACGTGCACTACCAATTTTTTTTCCGGGGCTCCGCCCCGGACCCCGCAAAAACGATTTCCCCTTTGCTTTTTTTGCCGAAAACGATTTCCAGCTTGTCATTTGACAAGCTCGTGCCGGGCCCTGAATACATTCCCTTCCATTCTTTCTTGGCTCTGTTTTTTCTGTTCACCAAATAACGCTTGGTCTAAAACGCTAGCCTAAAAAATCGCATTTCTTATTCTCAAAACTCTAGCGATGAAGCCAGGAGTAAGTGATGGGATTTGGCTTCAGATCTAGAGAAGTTTTGGCATATGCCTACAGTGCTGGCCAAAAGTTTGCAGCCACTCCGAAATTTTGCTATTAGGTTGTAACAGAATTAATGCAGGTTTTGAATTTCAACCGCAATAAGTCATACACTTCTCATTTCTGAGTAGGTTGCAAAATACCATTCGATAGAGCAAAGCAATCTCTACAAAGTAGCAATTTTGCTTTAGCAACAACTCTGATCCACCACGAGTTTTGAGCCAAAAACTAAAAAGATTCAACTGTCCGAAAAATTGAGAAAAATTGTAACTCAATTCATAAAAACCTACAAAAATTCTAACTTGCTCACGTAAACCCTATTCACATAGGGCATCTATATACGCCTTTGCCGTATTTTCTTCTCTGTTAGAACTCAAGAAAACGGAAATTTTCGTGCGTTTGCCAAAGTGATGCTGTGCCGTTCCCCCATAAGTAGTTGTATACCAAAACATGTAGAACTACAAACGTAAATTTTCAGCTCTCTACAAGCTTTAGTTCTCAAGAAATTTGAATTTTAGCTTAGACCACATGACTAGCGAAATTGTATTCAATATTTTTTGAGA